GGGAGCTGGGGTAGACTTTGTAGCTGAGTCAGGCTTTATGTGGGGAGGTTGTGGAAAGCTGGGTCAGGCTGGGGAAGGGTTTAGGGGAGCTGAGTCAGGCTCTGGGGGGACTGCACAAGGGGGTTGGGGCATCTAGGGGTGACACCAGATTGTGTTGTGGGTGTGGAGGGAGGCTGAAGAGGCTGCACTGTGGGAGAGATGGGGGTGTAATCTCTGTTCAGGCTGGCCCATGTCACACCCCAATCTCTCTCCATTGTCCCTCTCCTCAGGCCCTGAGCCCAGTCCGCCTGCTACCTGGTGTCCCTGCTGTTACCCCTCATCCACAGTGCCCCTCAGAGCCCGCAGTCTCCAGGCCCCCAGATCTCAGCTTCCTGCAGGGCACCAGCTGTCAGGGGACAGCCCTGGATTCGGACTCCACTGACCCCTTTCCCGAATCGTGGCCCTCAACTGAGCGCACCTCCCCTGACACGCCTCAAGAGACAGCAGCCTTGGGACAGCCCCTGCACCCGCCAGCCTCAAAGCAGGACAGAGAGTCCATCATTGCCAAGTGCGTTGCTCCCAGAGCAGTGGGGCTTGGTGATTAGAACAGGGAGGGCTGGGAGCCAGGACTCCTGGGTTCTAGGCCTGCTCTAGGAGCGTAGTGGGGGCTAGTGGTTGAAGGGGGGTGGGTATTAGGAGCTAGGACTCCTGGCTTCTAGGCTGGCTTTGGGAGGGGAGGGATGAGAGCCAGGATTCCTGGGCTCTAGGCCAGCTCTGGGAGGCAAGTGGGCTCTAGTGGTTGGGGAAGAGGGGCTGGGAGCCAGGTTCTAGGCCTGACTGCAGGCAGGACAGGTGGCCATTGGCACTGTCTCCTTGCCCACAGATACATAGAGCGTTTCCGCCATGGGCAGCCGAGCAGCCGCAGCCAGCGCCAGATGCCTCCCGCACACCCAAACAAAGAATTCTGGTGGCTGGAGCCAGTTCCTCCCTCCGTCAGCTCCACCCCAAAAGGGAGGGCAAAGCCAGGTACTCCCCCACCCCACAGTCAGGGCTCCCCCACTTCCTAGGTCAGGGCCCCCATTTGGGGAAGGGCACTCAGACTAAAGGGTTCATATCCCTCCCCTGTTCTGCATCCTAGGCATGTTGGTGGGGGGGAGCGGGTTGGTTCCCGGGCCCCTCCTTTATCCAGGCCATCTCCTTATAGACTGTGCCAAGCTGGAAGAGGTGGAGCCAGGATGGGCACTTACCAGCCCCCCGCTGCGCCCCGAGGTCAGTATGTCACTTGCAGGGAGGGCAGATTTGGGGGCACTGGGCAGCCAAATAGCTAGAGAGAGGACAAGCTGGCTTGAGGAGCCCCCAGAACCCTGCCCTGCCTCTTGCTACCTGCTTGGGGATCCCCCCCTCTCCCATTACCCTGACCCGGGGAGGGGGCAATAATTTTTGATGGGGCCACGCTGAGATTTTAGGAAATGGTCAAGAGCAGCACTCTTTTGTAGAGGGGGTGCGGAGTCTGGGTCAGAGGTTGGTTGCAGAAGGGAGCTCTCAGAGTAGGGGACTGGGGTGCAGGAGGGGAGGTGTGGTCTGGGAGAAAGTTTGGGTGAAGGAGGGGGTTGTGGTATGGAGTGCAGGGTCTGGGAGGGGGTAGGGGTGCAGGAAAGAGTTCTGGGCCAGGGTAGGGGTGTAAGAGGGGATGCAGGGGGCAGAAGGTTTGGGATGGGGAGTTGGGGGAGGGAGAGGGTGGTGGGTGCCAGAGGGAGGCTCTGGCCAGGAGGCGCTTACTTAGGCAGCTCTTGGCCTGGAGCCCTGCAGAATCCTGAGGCAGTCTCCCTGCTAGCCATGGTTCCAGGCTGCTCCCAGTGGCTCTCTGCTCTCCCCTCTGGCACCTGGAGCAGAGAGCCACAGGGAGCAGCCGGCTGCTTAAAGTGATGTCAGTTGGTCTGGGCCTGGACAGCCCGTGGGCCAGATCCCTTTGGCAGTTCCTGCTCTGGGCCCTCTGTCCTCTCTGGGGGTCATCCCATCCCAGGATACTGCCCCCAGAGCTTCTATCCTCTCTGGGGATTCCTTTGCCCCTGGAACCCTGCCCGGCCCTTCTTGGGGAGCCCTGGCTGGCTCTGTGCAAGGACAGTCCCTGGTGCTACCAGCCTCCTAGGGTCTGGTCATGGGTTGTTCCCTGCACTGTGTGCTCAATGTCTTTTAGGGGAGCCCCTCAGACACCACCCTGCTGGAGTCACCTGACGCTGACACCCACAGCCTGCAGGAGAGAGCCGCACAGCTGCTGCTGAGAAGGTATTGCCCTGTCCCCCTGGCTGGTACCCCCCCGGGGCACCTCCCTTCCCTGCCTAGCCTGCTGAGTACACAGCACCCCCTGCTGGGCACTCCCCTTGCTGGGTATCCCTCTGGGGCACCCCTTTCCCCCCCTGGCCTGCCATGTACAAAACATCCCCTGCAGTACCCCCGGCTGGGCACTCCCTTGCTGGGTATCCTCCCAGAGCACCTCCTTCCCTGCCTGGCCTGCCATGTACACAGCATCCTCTGCAGTACCCACTGCTGGGCACCACCAGGTATCCCTCTGGCCCCTCCTGCACGCTAGGGAGAGGCAAGATGCCTCCCAGTGGACAAACTCTCTGCCCTCTAAGCTTGCCTGCTCTTCTTGCAGCGAGTCCTCCCTGAGCAGCACTGTCCCCGTCAGCTCCGAGGGGCTGCGCTCCACACCCCCACACAGCACCCCGGACTTGGACCAGGCGCTTCCCAGCCCCCCTCAGCTCTCCCTGCCGAAGCCCTCTTCAGGTAGGAACTGAGACACAGGGCCTATCCTCTAGGGGATGCTAGCTCCCATCCATCCCTGGGGGGAAAGGGGGAGACATCGGGCCTTTGCTCTCTAGGCCCTAGGGTGGGTTGCTCCCTGTCTCTCATTCCCCCCCCCATGACATCCTTTGTTTCTCCCCAGGGCGGCTGCTGCCCCCCACCTGCTGGCCTCCTGCCCACTTCCCACAGTGCTCTTCTTCCACTCGGCCAGAGGACGACATCCTGTTCCAGTGGCGATTGCGCCGGAAGATGGAACAGGCGAGCCAAGGTGGCTCAAGGATGGTAGGATCCGAGTAGGGCCCGGGGGCGGGGAACCTGCATTTCCCAGCAGGGCTTGTGGGGGTACAACCGTCTGTGTGGCTGAATCTCAGTACAGGGTGAATTGCCCCACTGCAGCATTGTGTGTGGCTGATCCCCAGCTGTCCTGCCCCAAGTGCTGGGCAAATCAAAGCGCCCTGGAGCCAAGACATGTCCTGGACTCACAGGCTGGCAGTCTTTTTCAGGGGTCCACTCTCTCCCCTTGGCATGGAGCCATGGGGGCCCCTCTGAAACTGCTTTGTGAGTAGTTGCCTCTTCTCTGAGCTCTGTCGTCAGGGCAAGTGGCTCACACTGCATGGGGCTCCTTGGCTCTGAGCTGGGAGCATTCAGTATCCCTGTCCATGCTGAGTGCCCCACAGTGAGTCCATCCACGTGGGGAGCCTTGCCTCCCCCCCCCCCCCCCGCCACGCGGGCCAGCGGGTGTTTCAGTTGACAGGACAGCTTGGGACATGGCTGGTTAGCACAGGGAACAGGAGCGTTCAGTCAAATCCATCGGGGGGAGCGGGGAGCCGAGAGCCAAGGCTCTGCCCCTCCTGCTGAGACTGAGCTGCTCCCAGCTGCCTGGCTCCCCTCATGCCCACCGGTTGCTCCTTCCCTGGGCAGGTGTTTCCTGCTGGTATTCCCCTCCTGGGCTCAGGTTGCGGGGGGCAGAGCTTACTGCAGGCAGTTGGGGCCAAGCCCACCTCACCACAGCTACTCTGAGGGTCTCGGCACAAATCACACACCCTTGTTTCCCCCGTGTATCACGCAGGGAACCCTGGCACTCACAGTACTCACGCTCAGCAGTAACACTAACGAGGGGGAAACCTGCTTCCTCACACCTCTGGGACCGCACCTCCCTGTGCCTCCAGCATGCCTGCCTGTGGGCCTCCACCCCAGAGGGAGCAATGCCTCCATCTCTGCCTGCAGTGCCTCCTGGCCAGGGGGTTCCACCTCTGACCCCAGCACAGGCAGTTCTCAGTGCCCCCATGCCTGGCCCCTCTCAGCACCGTCTCGCTGGGCACAGGCTGCTCTCTG